ACGACTTATTATAAATACGTGGAGCGCTTTCACGAGTAAGTCAGTTTTATTCTCCAAATCCTCCACCAGTTTCCTTTATATTGTTCCCTTTGTTTTGATGATATCGGCGCAGTATTTTGCAACAACACTCCTAAGTCGCGATCAGGTCCGGCAGGATTTTTGTTCAACACAGAAACAGGTTACTACTTCTTTGGCCATTGTGTAATTGTCACAATGTCAGTTATGGATTAGAAGAGGAAAGTTTATTACTAATGTTTTACCCAACAAGCCGAATGACATATCTCTAAGGCTCAAGTTATTTTTATTTTCTGGCGAGATTAAAATTTCACAAAGCACGCGAATGAATTATTTACAGCTGACGCCGATAACTTGCTGTCGGTGTATGTTTTTGGGCTTTTTCTTTTAAAAAGACAATACCTCTGATAATTTTTTTTCGGCCAGTTCCGAAAAAGCGGAAACAGATTTATAACACAGATTGATTGTAGAATACTCGCCGTGCCACGTAACCCAAGTCATAAGGAGAAACATTCAATAGTTATTTTTTCGCCCAAAAAAAGCCTTTAGCCTATCACTGCCAATGTAACATGCAAATCGTTCTATTGTGTCGTCTATAGAAAGATTTAATTCACTTCGTGCAAACGCGAAAATTAAAATTTTCAATCGTTTTTGTTTGAATAGTGAACAAAGATTCATGTGCATGGGCAATCGAGTGTGCAGTTGGTTTTAGTCCCAGTTTAGTTCATGACTTTTCATGCATTTTGCTTAAAGAAACATTTTACTTTCTTCTGACCACGCAAATGCGCAAAATTCTGAAAATCGCAGTTCATAAGCAGGCTAATTCAGCTGTCTGTCAGGCTCAACCATTTCCTGCAAATATTTGATTCTCTCTCTATGAACGACTCGTTCTGGAAAATTGTAAGATCCAACTTGTAAGACGCTGTGTTTGACGATTTTTCCAACAAGAAACAACTTGGGGACGGAATTCAAATGGAGGTTAGGAAAATAAAGCAAGTAGTCAACTACAACCAAAAAGAAAATGATCAACTACCTTATATAAACCTCATCAAAATTCAGTACAAAGTTCTAAGCACATAAAACACAGCACGGTAGTACACTTATAAGCCTAGGGCTTCGATGTTCCTGTTTTCTAACACAGTCTTATAGTTCAATGGCAAAATAGAGGTGGGTACTTAAGGCTTGTTGTTTAAGAGGCTACTGTTACTTGCCCGATAAATTAACAAAAAGAAATATACTGGAGAAAGCCTGCAGAAATTTGAAAACGGAGATTTCAGGCTACGAAAACGCATCAAATGTTTTCCATCCACATGCACACTACGCCGAAGGAATTTAAAAACCCAACAACCACCGGCCATTGTGGATATGTATTTGAAGAAAATTAATTCAGGGAAATCAATTGATTATCGTGACTTCATCGTTTTCGAAAAGTTCCGTTTTCCAAATGTTTTATTTCCTCCACACGAAGAGAGAGCCGGCGTTTCCAAATTCCTCCAGTTTGAAGAGCGTTTTCGAAAAGCTCCGTTTTCGTGACGGAGAAATAACCGTCTAACCGTAATAATAGCCTAACCGTAGAAATAAAGCTGCGCTTTCAAATTTCTCCGGGGCGTTATGTTGGACGTTGTCTTTCGACACGAATTTTGGTCACTTTGAGAATATAGTTGACGTCAAGGGTATGCGTGTTTCAGTTGATTCTGGTTTTTGCACTCTAAGGTTGAATTGGGTATGTTTTCAAGAAGAATCATCATTATCGATAGGACCATCAACAGAAGCTCTTCATAAATTATGTTTACGGCAACTGTGCCAGCCGCAACGGTTATAAATAGGGTATCGAATTGTTGGTCAGATCCTAAATAGGGTAGAAAAAATCGCAGATTTTGATCACAAATAGGGTAAGGGTTTTGGGAAGCGGACCGCACACCCTAACCCAATTTTTCCGGGAGTACACCCCCGGGGTCGTAAACCAGGATCCACGTGTTTGTGATTGTTTGCAGCGAATTGTTACAAGTCACAAATTTGGTACAGCTGACATGATTGCGAGTTTTGACCCTTTGGTCCCTTTGGCCTTGGTAGAGTCCTGGCAGAGAAACGATTTCAGTGTGTCATTTACAATTTTAAAGGAACAGTTCTAATCATCTACCATTATTCCGTTTGTATTCATCACAGAAAAATGATTTCAGTTTCTTTAAGTAATAACTTACAAATAAAATGTTTAAGTCAAGGTGAAGTTAAGCTGTGAAGCATCTCTGTGTTTTACATAAACAAGTATAACAATCGAAGATGTCATATTTATTTTGATATATTTTTACAAGGGAAAAAAAGAAAGACTTACAATGGAAAGACCTCAATAACACTTTCCACTTTCCATGGAGTGTTATTACCGGAAACGCAGATCAACACAGGTGCCAGACGTACATTCTGGCCTGTTTCGAACCTCGAGGCAAACATACAATTGCAGGTCACTAAGCAACAATATCATTTTTAAACATTTTTTCATACTTAGAAATTACGGCAATGACTCACAAGCATGTTGTTTAAACTTTGACTGCTAAGCATGAGTGATATGGTAATAAAAGGTCCCCGGCTTATCCTTTCAGAAGGACTACTCGCTCTCAAAAATTAAAAATCCATATCACGTAAAAATATTTCCTAACATTATAAATGCAGAAAATTTAACGATAACATATGTAAAGCGCTTTGTAAAGCGCCATGAACGTAGGAATGGCGCTATATAAATAAAGTGATTATTATTGTTATTACAGCTTGAATACAGACAGAGTCCTCTGGCTTTTTATATAGATCGGGCCTGAAGCTCAGTAGCCTCCTTGGGCTCGTCACGTAATCTTCCTCTCCACGAAGATTGCGTGACGAGCCTAAAGAATGTCTGCGTAGAGGCTAGAAGCGCAATGACCCATTGCAGACAGAATTGAACCACTCACTCACTATTTTTCACTTGAACCAGCCGCGGAATTGATGCATATTAGTTGGATTTATATTTTTATTTTTATTATTATTACTTGACTATGTTATTGTTTTCGCCAACAGCACCTAGACTTATCACGAGGAATTACAATATTGCAATTTTTACTTCATTTATTCAGGCTCACACACAAACAACACACAAAAATTCACTGAAAACAACGAATTAAGCTTACATATCTAGAGATATATTATTTTAACAATCAAATAGTGGTCGCCGAAAAGCGATTAGTATTAACAATAAAACTTTGTACTCCTCGAAAAAAAGCACAGTCGAAAGGTTTTCTCAGACGATCTGTTACCCTAGAAACCACTGAAGCTCTTGCATAATGTAAATCAGTGACCACATTAAGGTTCTGATCTGTTTTTTAAGTCTGGCCTGGTACTCTTTATTCTAGAAAGACATCGTATTACCCCGCGTCCGGCTCTTAATTCACATATCTGTTTGACGCCGGAAACGCCCAAAAACCAGTCTCCGTTTTCCATAAATCGAAACATACAAGACGTTTTAAAATTCGACGTATTGTACATTTTCTTGTACCCAAGGGCTGATTACGGGCCTTCAAAAATAGACATCTATTTAAGGGGTGGTTTTACCAAAAATTCTGTAAAAATTTGGAATTTTTGTTTTTATTGGGATTTGAATCCTAAGGTATTGAAGTTTCATTTCGAGAAACACTTCTCCCTGTAAGCTGTTCCGGGCTAGCAAGAGCCTATTAAATCTGCAAGCGGATAACTCTCTCCCACCTCACACTGACGCCTCTGTTCTTGCAAATGAGATGGGTGAATACTTCATCCATAAAATAG